ATTACAAACCAAAATCAATGAAAACAAAGGCCAAAAATACAAGTGGCCAAAAAATTGCACTAAAGAAACTATTAGTAAAAACAAGTCTTCAAGTCTTCAACTTGCTTCCCTTCATAAAGAACACCCAAAGTTAGTCCTCTCCTTGGTGTTTGCTCTCTTAGTTTTTGTGTGATACTCCAAAGCACCTTAGACACCAATTCGAACATCCCCTCCACTCAATCCACCAAGAGAGTGTGTGGTGTTTAGAAGCTTTCCTCACCTAGGCCAAGAAGAAACCAAAACCAAGAGTACAAGAGGCCAAGGAATAAAAACTAAAAAGGAACGATTAAAAAGGCTAAACTCAAGTGGATATTGATGAGACAAACTTAAGAATAGAAGAAAGACTCAAAAACTAAAATTAAGGAACATTAAAGAAAGGCAAGCACTCAAAAGATTAAGTCCTAGAATGGCACTAGAATGGAATTCAATCAAATAGGTCTAAAACAAATTATGCACTTAATATGTTTGATTAAAGGTTTCATACAGCCATACAATCCTTGTTCAAAGGTCCAAGAATAACTCCATTGCTAAGGTAGGAAAATTTTGTTTTCATCAAACTTATTACTCAATTCAATCCAAATAGTTTGGGTTAGATTGAGTTGAATTTGTGTAATTTGTCTACTAAATTTTAATCAAACCAACTAGATCAATGAAAGGGTAGTTTAAGTTAAGTCAATTGATATGAAAAATTAAAAATTATATTAACAAAACATTAACACAAAAAAATATTAGAAAATTCATACACTTAATTATAAGTTTATAAATAAGAATGAAAAATCAATGCGGATCAATATTATTTGAATCATCATGTCCATATTAAAAAATTAAAATAAATTTATCAACGATAATATTAAAATGAGATTCTTTTGGGTTAAAACTTCTTATCATATGAAATAGACCTAATGTAGCCTCTTACGTATATGAAATAAAATTTTAATTATTTTTATTCTTCGTAAAAGCACAATGGAATATATTCCTCCAAAATAGACCCACTAACATTATTCATACATTAGATACAAGTATAAAATCCAAATGCAATCAATTAAAATCTTATCAAATTTAAATGAAACTTAACTTATATATATATATATTAATCAATTATAAAAAATATATATCTTTTGAATTGTTCATTTACAATGATTATATATTAATTATATAACCATTATATTCAATCTTAAACAAGAAAATATTTACTTACAATCAATCAATTTTAACAACTATAATATAAGACTTTGAGATGACTAAGCATATAATTATGCTTAGTTAAAACTCATATAAAATCAGCAATATAATATACACATGTAGATAAGCATGTCAAAACCACAAAAAATTAAATTAGTAATAATTAAAATATTCATTTAATTATTACTAAATTAATTGAATTCAAATTTGTAATTTAAATTTTTAAAATTGTTTAACAATTTGTATATTTTAGTTATTTTAATACACCTAGTATTACCTAAGTAATAATTTTATATTTTTCTAATTTATTGAAAATAAAATTACTAGTATAATAGAGCCTAAGCAAAGGGTTATTTTCAAGCCCTCAACTAAACTCCAATATAACTCATAAAGAGATCTCAAATGAGCCTTATATAGAGCCTAAATTATCACCACTAATAAGCTCCAAAACTAGCTGCAACATAAGCATCAAGCCAAAAGTCACTACCAAGCAACTAAATAAGCACTCAAATCCCAAACTAGCAAACCAAACCAACACCTAAACCATAACAAACCAAACTTAGGAAATATGCACCCAAACCACAACACTCAAACCAATTTAATGAACAATCAATCTTAATAACAAAGACAAACATTCAACAACACTAGATCGTGAATCAAACTTCAAATGCATGAAAAACAAAATAGAAGACATGAACGAACTTAGGAGAGTGTCGCTTGAACAAAGGAAGTGGCCTGAATGTTTCGCTTTAATGGAGGCAATGACTAGACAAAGGTAGTGGCTGAACTTGGGAGTGCATTTCTTAAATGGGGGTAGTTACTACAAAGGGATGACAATTGATTTTTCCTAAATGAAGAAGATGACGAATAGAGCATGAATTCAATTAGCACTCCTAGTAGCCCTAATAAAAACACTTTCTATGACAGGTGGTGATTTACTCATCATAGAATGTTTCCTTCTATGCCAGATAAGTCAATACATATTTTTAGAAAGGTTAGAGTCAAAGTTTAACCAACACATTCTATGACAGTGTTGACTTACTTGTTATAGAAATAACATTCTATGACAGGTAAATTAACATCGTTCATAAATTTTTTTGACATAATTACAATTATGTCATTGCACTACTTTTTATGTTGTGTGGATAACATCTGTCATATAAAATACGTCGATAAATAATATTTTTACAATGGTGGAGAGACAACCTAATTCGCTTAATTGAAACTTGAGGAAACAATATCATTCAATTGTCACACCTAAAAGGACAAAAAATACAACTAAGCATTTTTTAAGGTACATCTCAATAGTTAAAGAATAAAGAAACTATAAAATATTGTCAACACTCAACAGTCAATGCTAAAACGAACAAGTAGGGTGAAAATTGGCTAGGCCGAGTTAGGCTTTACTAAACCAAAGCTCGACCTTGGTTGAAAATACATAGCCTAGGTACAACTTGTTTACTTGTTATAGGTCTTTTTTTAAAGGTTTAACTTGATCTACATAAAAGCTTGATTTGGTTTACAAGCTTGTTTAAGAGTCTATTTTATAATAAATTTAACATCATTACAGAAGTAAAAATTAATATGCTAGACTTTTATAAAAATTAAATATAATTTATTTATACAATATAAAATATTTTTAAAGTTTAATATGAAAATCATGATAACTTCTTTAGAAACATATTTTGTATTAGGATCATAAATAAAAATAAATTTATCTTTGAATAAACTTATAAACTTCACCTTTTTTATATAGGTCAAATGCTTAATATTTAAAAGATAAATAAATATATACTTTTCATACATTATAACAAATTTGATATAATAATAATTATATATATATATATATATATATATATATTGTTATTTTAAATAGATTACTTAGTCAACTTTTTCAATAGCCTAGAGCCTAACCTTTTTAACCATAAAAATAGATTTTAATAAAAATTTTGGCCGAAGCTATTTTCTAAAAACAAATCAATCCTAGTCTAGGCTTTATGAGGGTTGGTCTATAGGCTCAAGCTATTTTAACCTCTACCACTGAGTCATTAGTTTGAGTCCTTAAATAAAATTTTGAGTTGAAGAAAATGTGTGTATGAAAAGAAAACATATAATTAAGAGGTAAAATTTCACTAAAAATTAATGATTAGGTTTTTTAGTCAAAGTTAGCCATGAGTAAAAGTTAATCATCGTTAAAATTGATAGATATTTCACATAAATAATGTGCTAAACAAAAATTAATACTAAATATTATAGAAATTAAAAGAAAATTAAAGAAAATAAAAAAGTATATATAACTGCACTTTACATAAAAACTGAAGAAAAAAAAACTTTACAAGAGTGAAACATGAATGACAAGAGAAGTATCCCAACAAATTATAATTGATTTACAAAAACTCTAAAATCCAAATATAAATTAACCAAAAGGAATAATTAAATCGTAAATTAAAATAAAAAAAATATATAAGAGAACTTATATATAGAGTGAATTTTAAATATATTTAAATTAGAAAATCAATTGAAATAATTATAATATTACAGTGGATAAATTTAATTTAACTATTTAATAATTAAAAATACATTATTTATGATTTAAGAGACTAAAATAATTTTTTAAAAATTATAAAAATTAAATTGAATTTGAAGAGATTGAAAATAAATTTATCTTAATTTAAATGAAAAAGAAAACATATTTATTATTTTTATATAAGTGACTTAAAAATAAATTTATCTTAATTTTATTGACTCATTTATTAGTGTCCAAATTTCTAAAAGAATCTTACTACTAAAATTAATTACTAAATAATAGCACATGTTATTTTTTATTAAAAGAAGCAAAACTCAAAAGGAGACGATAATTTATTTACCTTAAACCCTATTTTCAAATTTCAATTATTTGCAAAAAGTTTTCAATTATGATTCCAATTTTACCTTATCATTAGGACTTAACCAAGAACACGAAAGCCCCGATGGGATGGTTCCATACAATACGAGCGAATCCCAGCCATTGAACTCGTCCAATTACATCACGCCCAATCACAATCCGCCACGTGTCCCTCTACGTAAAAAATCCTTGAGTGCTGCATTGCATTGCATCAGCATGAACATGTGGACCCCAGTGTCCTCTACGCCCTCGACCATCGTTTCCGCTGTAAAAAGACAAAAACAAAATTCCCCCTAACGGCCCCAAACATTTTCCGTGAAAACTAACGGCGCCGTCAACCCCTCTCCCTCCGTATAAATACCGCAACCTCAACCTTTGTCTTCCCTCTTCTCCTGTCATGTGTGTCATCTTCCCAATTTTCGGACACAACACAACACAACCACTCCGAATCCTCGTACCCCATTTTCCACATCGCCGGTTACTCTCTCGTCACTGCCACTGCTCTGTTTGGAGGTCCAAAATTCAAAAGCTAAAACGAAGAAACCAACAAAAATAAAAAGCCAAGACTCCTAATAATTAAGGTAATTTTTATTTATTTTTTATTATTTTTTTTATTTTTTGCAGTGTGCTACTACTATTATTATTAGCTGTATCTTTAGCGCATTGCTATGTATACATCGCTGGCGCTTCTGATCCCAAACGTTCCGCATTAAATTCCAATTAAATCGAAGGGATTCTAATTGAATTAAGCCCACACAACGCACGCGCGTTGGCGAGAGAGTGTTGAGCGTTTGGTCGCTAAGTCGTTTTCGATTAGTAATGAGTCCATTTAATCCTGCTTTTGCAGTAATAAAGCTAAAATTATAGTACTAGTATATGTATACTATCAATCAATGCACAATTCCCTTTCTTTTCTTTTCTTTCTTCTTCTTCTTCTACCATTCTTCATTCTCTTTCATTCTCCATTTAACCTCTCTTCCGTTCCGACAAACATTGATTCCTCATTTAAACCCATTTTTATTTTGGTTGATTCTCAATCCCAAAAACTCGTACACCTAATAACTTAAAACACACTCTCTCTTTTTTTCTCTATCTCTCTTAAGGCCAGTGAGCCGCTTTTGGTTTTCGGGTGCACCTCGTGGAACGGGGATTGATGTGATTTGCACAAAGGATAAAGAGAGAATCGAAAGAATATTTCACTGTTTTTTATTATTATTTTATTTATATTTCTCGGTTACGCTTTATTCTTTCACCTCAGGTCATGTCTGTCATTTTTACAATTTTTTTTTATAATCTTCGCGGGATCAATTAATTATACGGATAACTAATTTTAATAATCACTTTTTTTTTCTTATATAAAACTCAAATATAAGAACTTGTTTAGAAGGATCGAGTACGGCGTGTTAATTGTCAATTTTTTTATTATTTTTTTTTACATTTACGATATGAAAAAATGTTTTCATGTTTTTTTCATTAATTAAGCAAATAAGGGGTGTCAGAAACTTCGGCTAGGACACGCTGTGGTTTCTTATTATTTTTCGAATTTGTGTGCGGTAAAGCAAAGCACATAGTAGTAGTAGTGTAGTACCCTTGCCCCATTTTGTTTTTCTTTCTCTCCTTTTCATTATTGACCCGATTTCTTTGAGATTTTGATATCGCTTTCGATCTTGCTCTGATCCCGAGCCTCGTTCTCAAGACCACTTTTCCTTTTTCTCCTTTGCTCCATTCTGTTTCCCCACGAAACATATCATTTGTTGGACAACCAAAGCTCGAAAATTCCCTTTTCCTTTTTCTATTTTCCAACTTTTTTTTCTTTCTCTCTTCTTCTTTCGCTTGTTGGTGCATTTGGGCCATCATTTTTAGTTTTGGTGCTTTCATTGGCGTTGCTCGAGACAGATAGGCATTCCTCTGCCACTGTTTCATTCAATGAAAGTGATTGCCTCAACCCCCTGTTCCCAATTATGTCCCCCAATTACTTTTCAAGCGTTCAAAACCAATGCCATGGCACATTCCACGTGGCTCTAGAAAACAATTGTATATAACGTTGTTTGACTGTTTGGAATTTAGTTAACGTGGTTGGTTTTTTTGTGCAGGAAGAGAAGAGGGCATAGTGAAGAAAAATGTTTACGTGCATAGCGTGTACGAAGCAAACGACAGATGAGAGGGATGAAGAAGGAGGAGGTCGTGAGAGTGGCACGCCGAGTACAAAAGAAGCCGTCAAAAGCCTGACCACGCAGGTTCTTCATCACTCTCTCTCTCTCTCTCTCACACACACACACACTCGCTTTCTCTCTCTTCATTCACCCACAATCTTTGCTTTTCCATCTTGGTGAAAACAAACAAAATCTTCACCCCATTTGGGTACACTCATATCATGGGGGACCACCATCCCAACATTGCATATAATTTTATTAGCATACTTAAATTGATTTTGAGAAATGTCTATTTTTATCTTAGAGTAAGTGGTGTTTACAATCACATTAACTTTAGTCGTTTTAAAAGTCATGGCCGCTATTGTTTTTGATTGATTGATAAATGCGTAATATGTTTATTGTTTTTATTTTTATTAGTAACTTTAATATATGATCATTTTATTTGCTAATTTAACAAGAGTATTATTTTGAATAAAAATTGAACCAAGTGGCAATGGTTAAGTCACGCTTGGTTTTGGATGACGCAGTTTTGTTTTGTTTTGTTCTGATTTGGACCCTTTTGTTGTTGCGGCATGCTCCCTCGCATGTACCATTGGTCTATTTTATTCGTTTATTTAAGTGCTTGAGGACATGTGGTGTTGCTGTTTTGCTAACCTGCGGAGGTGCATCGTGGGTTTTCATGAAGCATGATTAAGCAATCAACCCTTAATTAGTCACTAGTAACTGGACACGGGAGGAGCAACTATGAACATGCAAATATCAACGGATCAATCAATTTTACACGATTCTGCTCATGTCTCGTTACTTTCTAGTATCTAACTTGTCGGATTTTAACAATTAACAAATGACACTTTTAGATAATTATTGTATTACTTTTGTTTTTTATTTAGAAAAATCGTAAAGAATAATGCCCAGCCGAGCTATTAAAGCTACCTAAGTTGGAATAATGGTGAGGTGTTAGGTAGTTTACATTAGTTTTTATTACTACTTCCATATAAACGTGATTAATATCGAATAGTATTAGTTAATTAATTATTCGATTTTATCCAATATCTTATTATAACTTGCTTTCCATGTAATTTTATTTGGAAAGAAAAGCAAATGTCTATGGTCAATTATTCTGATGCGTAATGAGAATAGTAATAGTGGGAACATGTTCCATATTCTGCATTTGAGCTGATGATGAGAAAAGATTCCAATCACAGAAGGGTCTGCCATATTCCTATCTCTAGTGTGGCCCATCCTTGAATTCTTGTCGATACAATGTTTTTCAAAAGTTTTCTATTATTACCAATGCAGAAAAAAAAAAGCAAAAATCTAAATAAGTGATGGCCGGCTCTGGATTGGTTTCATGGAGGAAAAGTATATTAATATATATTTCTTAGTATTTACTTTTAGACCACTAGACATGATTCTCTAATCTTTTTCTTAATGTCTGCTTATGTGTGCGAGTAACCTTCATTTTCATGCTCTTTATTCTTCCTTGTAAGTAAAGTGTTGATGCAATTTAAGCTGGACACTCAACTCTGTATACGATCCCATTTTGATCTAATTAACAGAATAGGGTGTGAGGCACTTCTCAAATTTCGATGCTTATCCTAACTATTTTAAACCAACTACGTCTAAATTAAGTGAAAATTTTGACAAGAAACAACTCATTGGAAATCAACAGAATTTTCTTCAATTAGGAAATGTTTTCCACTAATGGTAACATAGTTCATGGTAGCATATATGTAAGGTTCCTATAATAGTCTTTCACATTAAGGATTTTGTCACCCACTTGTATCCTCAACCCAAACACATTCCTCATCAGTCCAGCTGTAAAGGTTTTTCTTTGAAAATGACCCAAGACTGAAACCTTAGCCTCCATTCAGCTTCATCCAATTTTACTTTTAACTTGTAGTTCAGAACTTGCACATATGGTTTCTATCAGTCCTTCCTTGTGTGCCATTTCACAAACACATTTCTGTTATCGTCTGCCAATATTCAATGTGCTTATCTCTAAATTATTTAGAACTTTAATCATGGCTTTTTCTCCCTTTTATGTTTCCTTGGGTACAATTCCAATAAGCACAATATTTTTTTTTTAGTTATGGACAATTGAGATGCATTATTTGTATTTGCTTCTTCTAGTCATCTACACTTTTCTCTTTTCCATCTAGTGCATCATATTTTAGACAATTGTATCATTTTCAAGACAAAAGGAAAGCATCAAAGCAATATGAATAGGTGGGTAAAGCAAGATGCCACTCAGGTGTTTTGAAAGCCTTAACAAATTGTTAAGATATTATAAAAACAGAATTTTAAATTATACTCTCTCCCCACTTTAGAGTTCTAAATGTATTTGCCATTGACCGAAATTCACTAAGACACGGAATATATTATTAAATATTATTCGACAATCCCAATTTACAAAAGAATAAAACAGTTGAAGTTATGTGAACTGTGAAATGAGAGTTACTTGTGTTAGGTGTTGACCCAATGTACGGTACTCCCGTTTTTTTTTGGTAACGTTACGGTACTCCTTTTATGTCTTTCAGAAATAAAATTTGTGATATAATTCTATGTTTCTAGTTGTCATGAAATATTTTTATTGTATTATTTCCATAACAATTTTCTGATTCCTCAAGTCTCGCGGGTAAATAACTTACTAATTAAGTTTTTCAACTGAAGCTGTCTTTTGAATCTATATAGATCGGTTATAAAGATTAAATTAGGATAAATTGTAATTTATTTCCACGTAATTTCACACTTTTTGATTTTATGTCTGGTTATAACATTTACACATTAACCCAAATTTCAGTAGGGGTTTAGTGTAATACAAACTAAAGCATAGGAGGATAAATTGCGAAAGTGTTGAAACAACTGTACTTTACCCTTGCTTTTATAGAAGACTTTTTTTTATTTGGTATTTTTTAAAATTAAGTGATTGAAACTTCTAATGCATTAGTGTTAACATGGTTTATATTCTATATGCAGATAAAGGATATGGCATTGAAGTTTTCAGGCGCTTACAAGCAATGCAAACCCTGCACAGGGTCCAGTAGCTACAAGAAAGGACATAGACCATATCCAGACTTTGATACCATCTCAGAAGGGGTTCCATACCCTTATATAGGAGGTGGTGCAAGCTCAAGTTCAACCCCTGCATGGGACTTCACAACCTCTCACTACCCTGGTGGTAGATCTGACCCAAGATTTGCTGGGGCATTTGGTGGTGACCGCACTCCTAGAGGACGTGACTCAGCATCAGTTTGTGATGTAGTCTTGGAGGATGAGGATGAGCCTAAGGAGTGGATGGCACAGGTGGAGCCAGGGGTTCACATTACGTTTGTTTCTCTTCCTAATGGAGGAAATGATCTTAAAAGAATTCGTTTCAGGTATAGTAACAACCAATAATTGACCACTGATTTCAGTTCCAAGTTCAGTGCTAAAATGTTTTCTAGTGAAAGATCTCTCTGATGGTCCTAAAGTAATAATTAATAAACCACTTAAGCACTAAAATTGGTCCCTAATTGGCTTGCCCAACAATGCTATGCTTGCTTGGCAATACACTTATTAGATCAAAAGATTTAGCTGAAAAGAATGTGTACATGATGGAATGCGTTTAAGAAGGCCAAAAGAGATAAAATTAAATGTTTGAAGGATTTTATAGGTTGATGTTAGATATTTATCTTGTAATTATATTATTTTATTTTACTTTTATTAAAATAATAGAATAATGATACTTGTATTGTCATCCTTAGTAACTATTAGGTTATAAAGATATATTATTCTTTGAAAGCATAATGAAAAATCTGAATATTATTCTTATCCTAGTCTTTATCTCTTTTGGGCCACCTTAAGCCCATTCTATCAGTACCTTAGGCTTAAAATACAAATTCACAAAATATATGGGATCTTTAGTTGTTGAGAACTTAATTATCATGTAGGAGCAAAGACTGACAATACTTAGCATTTGAATTTGAAGCCGAGAGATGTTTAATAAATGGCAAGCTCAAAGATGGTGGGGTGAGAATTACGACAGAATCATGGAACTTTATAACGTCCAGAGATTTAATCGACAAGCTCTTAACACTCCTCCAAGGTCTGAGGATGAGGTAATAACCAACATAACGTTTCATCAATTTTCTGTTCTGCATTATGACCCCATTCATTAATACGAGCATGCTTTTACCGATTTTGCCTATACAATTGTAATGGATAGTAAATGTTCGGAGAAATTATTAGTATGTTTTGCATTATGTCCCCATCCATTAATATGAACACGCTTTTGTAATACCAATTTTCTCTATACAACTGTAATGCATATTAAATGTTAGGAGAAATTACTAAGTGAAGATTTAAGTAACTATCTAATAATTTTTCGTTAGGAGATTTAAGTAAAACAATCTTGAGCATCCATGCATGACTATATGGTCAAGATCATTAACTCCTTAAACCTTTCTCACTTGATATATATGTTCCTTTTGTATTGAATAAGAAGACAACCCTTTTATTCATTTTTCAAAAAACTATATTGGATCCAAGATTAATCTGTGAAATTTGTTTGAACAGCAAAGAGATTCTTCTTTCTCAAGATTGACATCTGCACAAGAAAGCCCGATGCCCTCAAACAAGGATTGGACACCAAGGAGTCACTATAAACCCTCTGGGGCTGGGAGCAGAGGATATTACCCCTCTGAACCGTTGGATCACGGTGGAGGTGGTGGCCACTTCCATGCAGGGCCGTCTATGGAACCAGCAAGGGACACTACTGCTTCTAGGGATGAGCCTTCTATCAGCAATGCCAGTGAAATGGAGACAGAATGGGTAGAACAAGACGAGCCTGGAGTTTACATTACAATCAGACAGTTAGCTGATGGGACAAGGGAGCTACGACGTGTCAGATTCAGGTACTGTACCATAATGCATCTCCAATAACATGTTCCTTAACAGGGAAATGATCCTAGGAACATGTGTTATGATGAAATATACGTAAGAATTGAGAGCGTTTAAAGAACCAACCTTAACTACTGAAATATAGATGTTGTAGTTTAAATATGAGTAAGTTTAAATGCTCATGATCTCAATAATTTAATGCATATTATCTTTTAGTTTGTTTAGATAAAAATATTTCATTTTAGTCTGCATACGTGCTGTATTTGTGTTTTTTACCATTTTTGTTTTCTTTCAATTTTTCATAATTTTTATTTTTCAATTCTTATAGTAAATATATAGCCTAGATTCAAAAGAAACAAAAATAATATGTAAAAAAATTAAAATAGAATATTTGTAACTATAAAAATTAAAAAATAAAATTTATAAAACTATAAGAAAAATTGATAGAATATTTAAATCGTACAAGTAAAACAACCCCTACCATTTATGCACATTGTACAATTAACTATTGAGAAGATTTGCTTCTCTCATCTTGGCATTCTTACACACATACATATTTCCTTAAAATTTTCAACTTTATTAGTCAGCTCAGTACACCTTGAAAAGAGGTGAAAAATTCAGGATGGGTTATCACCCATTTAAGAAGACTTTTGTTTAGAATACGGATGCTTATTATTAGGTTTTGGTTTAACACTTTGTAAATTCTTGTGTTGCAGCCGGGAAAGATTTGGGGAGGTGAATGCAAAAACTTGGTGGGAAGAGAATAGAGAGAGAATACAAGCTCAATACCTTTGAAGTGTATTCCTATTTAACAAAAAGTGGATGTCCTAAAGTGGTGGAATCCCCAATTTTGTTTCATAGAGATTGTAATGGTATGACTCCAGATTAAGGAGTGGAGTCAGTCCTATACAGAAAAACTGGACTTCCCACCATCGGTTATGGTCTCTGCTGTTAAATTGACAGTCTCAGGATAGTGCAAATCAGGGATTTTGTTTTGTGGTGACTCCATTTTTGCCAAGGATCAGTCGCCATTGGATTGGGAGGTCTAATCTTTATTACATACCATCATATATATATTTTTTGTCCTCCTATTTTTGCTGCCTTGCTTTCTTTCCATTTTAAGGGGATACTTTTTGTCATCATAGTTTCTGTTTCATTAATTTATTACCATTTGTTTATTTTTTTTTCCTCCCACGTGGAACTGTGTTGTAGCTGCTTACCAAGGATTAAAGTAATTAAGAGAAACACACTTTGTTTCTATTTCTTAATGTGCGATTCTAGGCTCATATTATGCTGCCTCCCACGAAGTTAAAAGGCTTGCTTCCCATTACCAAGATAACGGTGACTCAGTAGTGAATGCAGTTATAATAGATTGCACCAAGTTTTATGTGGAAGAAAGCTAAAACTTGCAGTTTCTACCGTTATCCTATCAAAATTAGGTTTTATTGCAGTAATTTGTGTATAAATATTTTCTTTAAAGAATTATGTAGATTATCAGCATAAAATTCCAATTCTAACGAAAGAAGACACACTACGTTTCATTTAGTTTGACCATCATTATGGTTGAGTAGTTTAGTAGTTTTTTTTACACTAAATAAGATATTTTAGTCATTATCTTTTAAGGTTGGGGAGAGGTGATGTTGTCCAACCAAACCTCTTGACCTACTAGTTGTAAGGCTTATCATAATATATAAGGTTGATCTGGTGCTCTTAAGTTTGATTTAGATTAGTGTTTAATTATAAATTTTGAGACACTACATGAACTTTATCTATAGATAAAAAAAAAAAAAAAGAGGTGAGGTTGTCTTGACCAATGTTGAGGCACAAGTCTTAGTAAGAGCTATTATACTCATGTATATAGAAAACTAGCATGAAGAAACTTCAAGTCAAATATCCAATGACACCAATCCTTTGGTAGATGTGGTAGTCTTTAGCCAACGAAGGTTTGTTTAGTTGGTAAGGATCTAACCCATATATTACAAGGATGTAGGTTTCAATTTCACCACAAAGGTAAGTATTTTATTGTTGGTAGGTAATTTTTTAATACGTCTGTAACCACTCTTTAAGTCTTAAAATTGTCTTAATTCTAATGAAATCTCAAGACGCGGTTCATCTAAACTTTAGGTATAAAAAAATGTTGGTCTTTAATTTCTTTACTAAATGAATCATGATATATAAATTAGGATAATTACATGATTCATCATAAATATGTTTCTAATAACTCCATTAACAATAACCTCAATTTTCAAAATTAGTATATAATGATGGTGAACATTCAATTCTTCCTTTCCCATCAAGTTACTTGTCTCCTTCTCCTCCTTCTCCTCCTCCTCCATATAGGTGCTTATAGTAACATCTTGAATTTTAAAACACTTGTTGTTTTTTTTTTATTTCTAAATTTTATATTAGAAAATTTAAAAGAGATATCTAACATCTTAGGCTACAACTTTTATGAAGATTACAAATCCTAATTCGGAAGGAAACTAATCCTCTTAACACATTTAAATTTGTTCACTGATTTTTGAATCATGTAGCTTCTACCTTAAATTGGCTTGACCTTTTAAAAATCACCCAATCCTTTCAAATTTGTTCAGCCTTTTTTCCTTCTAGAAACACTTTTGATTCTAGTTCCCAAATCCACTCAGCCATTTCTAAACCTTTTAGATGTTTTATGACAGAGACCATCTCTACTTTTTTTTTCTTCGCAATTTTGGGGTTTCTAATTCTCTGTAATCCATACCAACTCACCTATAAACTCGAATACTCAAATTCAAACAATCAAGACTCATATAAACAGCATGAATATATCAATTTCAACAACAAAAACAATTTATAATTAGGATTTGGGTACAAAATCAAGATTTTTCCTCAAAAACCCCAAATACCTCAAAACTCCAAATCAACTCAAAATCTAAACATAATTTACCACCAATGGGCAAGACAATACCAACAACACATGATTATCAAATTATAAGAACTTCCATTACCTTAAACACCTCAAAAAATGGAATTTTCTCATAAAATAGAGCAAAACCACAAAACTTCATGGTAATCTTCTCCCTAATTTTCAGAGCTCTTAAAGTTTGAATCTAACAAACATCCTTCACAACTATTGCTTAAGATTTCAAGATGAATCTATCTACAGACTCAAATCAACAATCAACCACCAAAAATCCAGACTCTCTCTCTACTTTCTCTCTAGAATGTGAGATTTCTTAATTTATGAAATTTCTCTTCTATGAACTTCCTTATATAGTCTTTTTACATTTTTGACCAAATTAAACCTTAACTCCTATAATTTCAAATAGCCTAACTCTTAAGGATATTCGAACTCCTAGAGCTCTAAAACAACTCAAAACAATTCCAAAATAACAAAAAAACAAAAATACCCTCAAAACACTTTCTATCACCACCAACAATAGAAATCATTACACAACAAACAATCCAAACTACAACCTCACCAGAATCTTTTTTCCACAATTAGACAATCTACAAGATGCATGTAAAACCACATAAATAACAATATGATCATAAACATCATAACATGCATACATCAAAATCATAGTGTTACACTCTTAATCACTTCGAAAATAAGGAAGTATGGATCCATCCTATGTCAATGTCAAGTAAGTACAACTAGAGCAAATTCTAGCCTCCCACCAAGTCTTATGTGTCTAATGGTAAGTTCTCTTACTTTCGTATTTAACACCATTAATGTCTAGCAAGTATAACTAGAACTAATTTTGATTTCCCCTATGAAATCTTCTGTGTCTTAGGGTAAGTATCCTTACCCTCAGTAAATATAAGTCGAGATCATTAAATCCTCACTCCTTTATTTCTCTTTTGTGCATGTACTCGATGGATATACGTTAAGATAACGATCAAGCATAGTAATCGGGTTGATTCAACAATACAAATATTGATAGGCTTGTGAAGACCGTAAAGAAGATATGACACATAAAGAATGTTTTCACTTATACTTGTATTTGGGGTAAGATAGAAGTTGTGTACTGCTTTGATTAGGTTTCTGACGTATGGGTGGAAATAGTTAATACATATTTTCACTATATCTGTTTGTAATAAAAATTCATATTTATATTTCAGAAGATCATGGCCTTTTATATTTTATGCTAATAATTATTTTAATAAGAACAAAAAAAATTACACTTATTTTTAGTTAGTAAGAGTTGTGTTGTGTCTAATGCAACAAGGTGTTACACTTATACATATATTCCAGAATAAAAAGGAGGGAGAATATTGCACTTCATAATCAAATTTTTTTAAATGTGATGTAATTATTGTTAGAGAAAAAGATACACTCTAGAAAGGCGGTTGAATAATATATATCAAAAACTTGCGCTTTTAAAATGTAGTGTAATGGTAGAACCCTTAAAAGAATACTAACACATATATTTTGGTATATGTTAGTGTAATGTAATGTAATTATTGTTGGAGAGTCTTGACTATAAAGAATACTCGGTGTTGAAGCCTGGAGAGGATTCATGTAAAAAGAATACTTGGGTAGATTGCTAGAAGAGGCAATTCAAAGAATACTTTGGTTTGAGCTAGAAGTGACTTGTTGAAAGAATACTTGTATCTTGTTTAAGACAATGGAACTCAATTCAGTTGGAATGAGAACTGGATGTAGTCTCAATGGTTGAGATATACCAATACAAAAATACCTTGTGTTCTATTTGTTCTCTCTTTAGCACTCTTAATTGTTAGCATTATTAATTTAGTACTTGAAAAAAATGCATTTTCAATTGATACTATTCAACTCCCTTCTAGAGTCTATCTTTTGTCCATAACCTAAGTTTAGGAGAACATGTTAATGAACTAATAACATGTATGAACTCAAAGATTATAAGCAAAAAAGCACATGTACAGTTTCATCCAACACTTATATGTATATATATATTTTTCCATATTTAAAATAAAAAAGATCAACTAGAAGTGATGACAAGAAAGAACTACACATGACTCTAAGACACATGCATTTTGTATGGATTTCAAAAGAAAATATAAACCTACACATATTTTTCTTGTTTCATATTTTAAACACTAACATATATCAAAATATAAAGGAAAAATCATAGAACATGAATCATAAGGTCATACAACAAGATTTGGTTCATAGAATACTAGATCTTAAAAATTTTAAACCAAAATTTTCAAGACAAATATAGATCTATAGAATTAGCTTACAAAAACTAGATCTATTCAACATACACTACTCAAACTGAACATGTATACAACACGCAAAGGAAAGATACAACTTCCATGGATGAAACCAAGGCTCATGATACTAAATGATAGAAAATTCCTATGGAGATGAAGTCGAATTTCTCCATAACTTTCTCCTATTCTTCCAATCTTCATCCACGGAATTAATCTTTATGAAACCAAATGAAAATTAATGGAGAGAAGAGAAAATGGATGTGCCACCTTCAAGTGAAGGATAAGAAAGAAGGATGAACTCACCACAAGGAGGAATTCCTTGATAAAATTTTTTAAGGAGAAAATTCTTCAAAGAGAGAACTATGCTTTTAAAGATAGAATTTTAGAAATCTAATTCTCAAATAACTCAAAAGTGACGTCCGAATGAGGGGGAACGTGAATTTATAAAGTTTGGTAACTTGTAGTGCGAGTTAAGTTAACCATGATTAAGTATGATTATGGTTAGGTTAACTTATTAACTTATACTCAAGGCAACTAACTTTAGTTTAAATTCAAATTTGAATTTTTCTCCTAAAAATGTCACTATCCTAAATCTAAAAGAGTCAATGAGAGCATGT